TTTTAAATAAATGAACATTTATTTTTTAAATGTTTTACAGTGCATTTGGTGGAGCCTATAAATAGCCAGTTTGAAAAAATAATAATAAAAACTCTTGATCCACCTCTAAAGCAACATGTGAACACAATAAAATTAACATTGTGCCCTTTCAGCTGTGGGAAATGGTAGAGGATGACATGGTGAAGATTATACCTTCAAGAATCAATCTAGGAGGATAAGAACATATATATAATACCTTAATCAATAAAGAAAAAAAGAATCAATCTAAAACTCAGTGTTTATGCCAAGTAATATCTGCTAATGTACTGCTAGCTGCAGCAAGAATAAGCTAAAAATTCCCCTGACATCTTCATAAGGAATACGCAGTGCTTTTCTTGTCAGTAGAATGAAGTGAATATACAAATAACTAGTTTTATACACGTGGATAAACACCAGAAAAAATGCACTCAGTGTGAAAAACAGCCATTGTCTTTGATATCTGTAATTTCAGAAGTGTGTATGCTTTTAAACTGTTGGAAATTATATCTAATTTTCAAAACTCATTCCCTTGATTCTGAGTCCCATGTGAATTGAAGTTCAGAATATCATGGTAACATGTAAGAGATGACGAATGGCACATTTGTCACTGTCAGGCAGCTGAAAGCATGAGTTATTGGCACGTACAGACACACCTTCCTATTCTGTACACAGTGTGGGCGGAGGTGCTGAATTGCTTTTCTATTGGTCAGCTTCTCTTCCAATGGCAGAGAAGAGAGTATTCTTTCTTGAGTTCATTAACATACTCTGGGAAAGTACCCAACTGGGTTCCTCCCTCCAGCCCTGTGCAGTGTTAAATATAGACTTTAAAAACAGGGTTAGCATTTACCTGTTAAAAATTACTTTGGCTTTGGGTGATCTGGATTTTACATACAAAATTAGTCAGGAAAGGTTTTTAAAATTTAAGTAAACTAATAGCACATAATGGTTATGCAAAATGAGAGGTAGATTTTGTTGCAGATACTTTCATATAAAGAACACAGAATTCACAGTCCTCCTCCAAGACTGAACCCCCAAGAAAGAAGGAATTCTGGCCCCAGGCTACTTGGGACCTGAGCTACAACATCATCTCTCCCCTGACCCCCAGGTCACAAGATTTCCCCAGGTCACAAAGGGCAACAACAGTGGAGTTCCCTATCCCCACCCTGACTTCGTGTATATATCCTTGGGAAGAGACCAGAGGCTGGAACCTGGGAGGAGGGCAGAGCTACAACAAAGTCAAAAGGAAAGGGGACGGAGAGGGGGATGTCAGCCTACCCACATGAGGGACTGCCATGTGACCTGAAATGTGAGCCAGTGAAAACAATAAGGAAACAGATGCGTGGGGCTCTTGGGTAATGAACTGTGCACAACTGCACACTACAAGGCTG